GATTCTATGATTTTGCCTTGCCAGAGCAGTGGCAGTAGACCTTCATTAGTAGCTGACACGCAAGATTCAAGCTGTTCCCCATAGGGGCAGATGGCTCCCACCCTGGAAACCCACCATGAGAAAGATTCCCCTGGGATGGCCCTTGGAAAGTCTCCCATGTGTCAGGCCAAATAACCTTTCTGATCTTCTCCAGAGAAGAAAACACTAACACATCAAGAGTTCCCACAGGTGAGCCCACCAGGGTGTTTATTATCAAGGAAAAAGGCAACGCAGGACACTTCCAGCATTCTTCTTCAACCAATGACATTTCTCCCCAAGGGCCTTTTGCTTTCCTCCCCCCTGCCACCCCTCCCAGTGCTCTCACTCTGTGGCCTGCACCCCTGAAGAGCCAGCTGGTGTCCAGAGCTTCCAAAGGAGCTACAAGTGTCTTTTCTCTGTGTCCCCGGGGCAGCAGGAGCTCTGGGTGCAAGCCAGGACTTTCCTGATCATTTTCCTGGTGGCTTCCCTGACCTCCCTGTTCCGCAGGCTGTAGACAAGGGGATTGACCAGGGGCGTGAGGATGGTGTAGAAGAAGGAGAAGACTTTGTTGAGCTGACTCAGTGGGGCTCTTCTAGGCAGCATGTAGACAACAAAGAGGGTGCCATAGAAGATGGTGACAAGAGTGAGGTGAGAGGAGCAGGTGGAGAAGGCTTTCTGCCTGCCTGTGCTGGACGGGATCCTCAGGATGGCAGCTATGATGCACACGTAGGAGGCCAGCGTGAACAGGAACGGGAAAACTACATCCAAGAGGCTAAATATGGGAGAAACAATTGTGAGTGCTCTGGTGTCACTGCAGGCAAGCTCCAGCAAGGGGGCAAAGTCACAGAAGAAATGGTCAATGACCTTGAGGCCACAGAACTCCAACTGGGACAAGAAGACTGTGACTACCACCAGCAGCAGTGAACCCCATAGCCAAGATGCAGCTGCCAGGTGAAAAGAGACCTTCCAGGTCATGAGGCTGGCATAGAGCAGGGGCTGACATATGGCCAGGTACCGATCGTAGGCCATGGCTGCCAGCAGGTAACACTCAGTAGTCACAAAGGTACCAAAGAAGTAGAACTGAGCCAGGCAGCCCTGAGCAGAGATGCTGCTGTCCCCAGTCCAGAAGCTGGCCAGCAGGCGGGGCAGGAGGGTGGAGCTGTAGCAGGTCTCCAAGGAGGACAGATTGCCCAGGAAGAAGTACATGGGGCTGTGCAAATGCTGGTCTGCCACCACCAGCACAATGAGGAGGATGTTCCCAACCATGGTGGCTGAGTAGATCACAAGCAAGAGGAGAAAGAGCAGGTTCTGGAGTGTGGGGACATCCTGTATTCCCAGAAGCACAAAACCTGTGGATGATGTCCTGTTGTCCTTCCCCCCTTCATCCATGCAGATCTCTCTTTGATCTCCTTGGTTGCCACAAACAGGGCCTAAGAGAAAGAAACCAACGTCAGAATTACCGGCAACATTTCCCCGTGAGGGACATTGCTCTCTTCACACCAGCAGTATGTGTTTTGTGCCACAAACAAATGTTCTCCTGCTGGGTGAAGAACACTCATTCCAGCAGGCCCCCTGCAGACTCCAGAGGTGAGCTGCCCAAGGGAAGTTCTTCTTTCTCACTGTGGAATACACCAGTGATGTGCATTTGCTCACTCAGAAACAGACCACGTTCCTGTGTCTGTGGGTGTGCCCTGGGAAAGATGTTCTAGGTGTTGAGAGTCAACATCCTTCCGCTCTCCGGACAGACCAAGTGCGCCATAGAAAACAAATGCCACTCTCCACAGAGCCCTATTTTGTGACATGTCTTGCCAGACCTCCCCTTTCCTCCAGAGCCAGGGCTGGGACATGGCAGAGGGAGTGCCTGTGGTTCTCTGGAGCACTCTCAGGAGGAGGAAAGGATTCCCACAGCTCTTCTTCCCCAGCACCACACAGGCCAACTTGACCATTGAGAAAGGGCAGCTCAGAAGGGACTGCCTCAGGTGAACATGAGACTGTGCTATGGAACTGCCAGGGAGCTGCTAAAAAACACCTTAGGAGTCAGAGGCAGCATAAAAAATGATGTAGAAGGGTTTAAAACAGGTTGGGAAAGGGTAACTGGGAGCCAACCACACCCCATGGGAGGGGTTGTGCAGGGAAGACGGAGACAATCCAGACTCTGCATCAGAGCCAGGAAGGAAGGACACATGGAACTGGAGGCAGTTGCACATAGAGACAGGGTGGTCAAACACAGAAAGAGTTGCTCTGAGAGGTTACAGAGGTTCCATCCGTGTGGGTATTAAAATACTGGACACGGTCCTGAGCCCCCTGCTCTAGCTGAGCCTGATTTTTGGAAGGGAACTCGGGACCAGATGAACCCTAGGGTGGCTACCAAGCCCAGCTCCTGTGATTCTGTGAGTGAGAGCTGCACGGCAGAACCGTTTGCTTCCCGTTTTTCCCTCCTCAGCAGCAGTTCCTGAGGGCTTTGAGGACGCCTGCCTGTCAATCCCAGCCAGACCACAGCATGGGTAGCTGTGCCTGTGGGGCTCCCCGAGAAAGTGAGACACTGAGCAGCGTGTCTGCAGGGTGCAGGGGGATAAGGTGGGACAGGGTCAGGGTCGGGACATGGACACTGCCAGGAACATGCCCCAGTGCGTGACTGGAGACAGCTCATGCCCACTAAATACAGCTCTCTGCAGGAGCAGTGCCCTTCAAATGTCTTACCCCCCTCTGGGGCTGGAACCCATTTCTTCCCGCAGGGATCACCAGGGGAACTGGCAGAGTTTGCCAAAAGCTCCTCAGAATGACTGATCCCCCTAGGCCTCTGCACTGCCTGCCAGTGAGAAAGCTGAGAGCTGCAGAGCAGAACCTATGTGGCCATAACTCTGAGAGCTGGGAAACAAGTGAAAGCCAACAACCACAGCAGAGACAATCTGACCAGGATACAGCTGCAACAGCCCTGGGAATGAGGCAGGGAAGGGCACAGGCTGGTCTCACACAGCCTGCCCAAATGTTTCACCCACCCAGCTGAGCTTGGAGAGTGTCCCAGGGCTGTCCCCTGCATCTCACTGTGCAGTGCCAGGGGCTGGGGGGGGGTCTGGGGGAAGGAGGGAGCTGGGGTGGGAAGACATGCAGGAGAGAACAGGGCTGATACTCAGACTCTGCAATTCTTCTGTCCACAGACCCAGCAGATTGACTGAGAAGACCCAGGATTCACTCACCCTCAGCAGATGGAGCACAGACCTGCAGTCCCCTCCAGGAAGCAGTGACATCTGCTCTGATGGGTCACTCAATGAAGAACAAAGTCCAGGTCTCACCTTCTGCCTCTTCCCTACCATTTCTTCCCTTCTCATACCTCACATCAAACCCTCAGCCAGTGTCTGGCCTTGCTCTGCCATTCTCCCAGCAGCTCCTTATAGTGAGTCTCCAAAAGCCCCACAAGGCTCCCTGCTCACTCAGGTGCCTCAGAATTCATGGCATCAATGAGTCTCCAAAGGTTCCTGCTGCAGGTGTTCCCCCTGAGGATTGCAGAGATTGAAACCAAGATAATTCACTCCCTGGTGGGAACTGTGTCAACAGTCCAGGCAGGGCTGATGCCCTTGAAACAGGATGTGACCTGGGGCAGGGCAACCGAAGCAGGGTCATCCCTGAATTTGGTCAGCAGGACAGGAAAGTCTCCAGAAATGGGATTCACCTCACTCCCTGTCACAAAACTAAATCTCCATCAACTCCCATACAATTAGAGAGCCTCAGAGCTTCTGAGGCAGCGTGGCCTGCCTTGCTGGGAGCTGAAAGCAGCAGAGCAGGTTGTGTGTCCCTCTCTCCACCATGGGAGGTGAATAGCAGCCTCCCTTGCTCCTTTGCTAGCCAAGGGGGACAAGTGGGCTTGGCTCCTGCCACTCCTGTGGGACATGCAGTTTGGGAGAACCATCTCTTCTGCCTCTGCCCGTGCTGAAAAGGCAGGAGAGGAAGGCCCAGTGGACACAGACATTTGTGTTGTTGCGTCTTTGGACAAGACATACCAATCTTTTGGTTTATCATGGGAGCCTCACACTGAAATGTGAATGCTGGGGGTCCAAGTCCAAGTGGGACAAACACACCCTCCTCCTGTTGGTGATGGTCAAGGA